TTGGTGATTGGCCCAGGAGAGACTGGAATTGGCAATTGGGACTGAGAGAAAAAGCACCCCCAGCCACTCTCCAGGAGGTTGGCCTGAAAACTATAATGTTGGCAATCTGGGTCTCCACCCTGAGGACTATGGAGGTGCAGGAACCCAGAGAGGGGGGATAGGGAGGAGGAGGAATGAAGGGGCTATGCAGAGAGGAGCCAACATGGGAGGCAGAGTCTGGAGAGCGAGATCTAGTCCCTGGTGGCTGACCCCTCGCCGAGTGCCATGAGATGACCCGGAGTCCTGATGACAGCTCCTGCTTTGATTCCCCTAGCTAACAGCTCTCAGTTACCTGCAACAGAGAGAGCTCCCACTTCATATGACATCCTCACGGCATCTCAGACTCCACCGAAACCAAGCTTCCCTCTTCCCTCTTTCCACGGCCACTGACCCAACCCCACTCCCCCACCCACCATTGGCTCCCATTCCCAGGAGCAAATCAGATTAGCCTAAAAGGCCCTTAGAAATAGGTCGACCATCCTCAAATCTAATTTAAAAATATACCAAAACACGGTGGAGAATAATTTTAGAAAATTTCTGTAAAAATAAAAGCAGAGGAGACTTATTTTGCTTGCTCCATTAGAATGGCTCTGATCAGGGCCATGATTTATACAAAATTTATCATAGACCCATAAAACTGAAAAAGGCACTGCTCACCAGCCACACCAGATAATCTTCTGCAGCTCACACTTTTAATACAAAAATTACTATTTTTCATAGTAACCCACGGTCATTTTAAAAGCACTCTGGTGAAATAAAAGGGAAATAAAGTACCCACAAGGTAAGCTGTGGAATATAAGAGAAACAACTAGTCCTGAAACAGAGGTTTCTCGATCTGCCACTGGCTAGTCGGGTGAACATGACTAGCAACATGCAACCTCGTTTTGACTTAGTTTTCCACTCCGCACAAGGGAGTATCATAAATAAAAATAAGACCACCATCCACCACCACCATTTACCAACCAGGGTTGTTGGGAGACTCAAATGAGCTAGCACTTAGCAAAGAATGCCTCACAGCAGATCCTGGGGGCAGCAGGAAAGAACAAAGCAACAGAGAAAGACAAGAGCTCCTAAGATGTAGACACTTTTGTGGAGGAGTGAAGACCACTCAGTAAACTAGCATTACACTCAAGCGCTGCCTTCTGCATCCCGTTCTGCTACGGGGCGGGGCGGGGGGGGGGGGGGGGGGGGGGG